GTGCGCCCCCTATTTTACTGATTCATGTTGGCATTCGTGACTTTGTTGGTGTCGGACCACTCCAGTAGAAGAGCAAAAATATATACTTCCAAGTTACGTATAATTGTTACCCTGTCCTGTCGTCGCTATATAACACGAAGTTTGGTAGCGGTACAAGACACTGCGAGGTCAGCGGTTGCGCATTCCGTTCCGAGAATGAATACGAAAAATACACCCGGAATACGGTTCCCCACGCTTTCCTGGCTTCTGTCAGGCTGTCAGCATGGCAATCAGGGATGCCTCTCGAAAGCCCAAAAGACACATCGCGGGCACCCCCTGCATGTGGCGTTTTCCCCGAGGTGTCGCGTGTTGCACAAACTGATAAAATTCATCGGTTTTTTTCATCTCTCTCCACTCTGTCACAAAAAGCAAGAAAACAACTCCCCTTGTCGACGTCCGTTTTCGCCCCACGTACGCACGCATCGCAGCCCTTCATTATTTGATTGTCATGCCACGGCAGTATCGCAACGCGTCCCTTCCTCTTCCACCCCCGTTCGCTACAATAACCGAAACCATTCAAGATTCTACGGCGGCGATGCATGCAGCGCGTTGACGACGGGCTCCGGCAGGGGGGCATCGCCGGGCCAAATTGCACGACACGCCTGCGTGAAGCACTCCTTCCGTGCTAGCTGGACCCCGAGCCCTCTGGCGTTCAGGGCAACGCCGGTTTCGTAGCACGCCTGCCAACACGAAAACAGCGACACACCGGCACAGCACCGAAAACATATTTCAACAGGCTACCCTCGGGGGTACAAATCGACAATTTCGAATTGTATATGCGCCGGCGGTTGTGACTCGGGCGACTTGGGGAGAGGGCTCTCTGACAACCTGACCGCATGTCGTTCGGCCGAGAATCAATTCATCTTCGACGGGGCGATATTTTGTGGCGTTCTACAGCAGTACACACGGTAAAAAGGGGGGGAGGGAGGGGGAGGGGGAGGCTTGAGGAAGAGTTAAAGACGGCACAAAAGAGGTGTCTAAACCGGAACAGAGTCGCAGCGGACTTCGTGTGCGGCTCGATGAAGACATGTAGCAACATGTGCTCACACATAAGAGCGGCCTCCATCCGACTACTACTTCTATGTACAGCAGTAATATCGATACAAATAATATACTCCTTTTGTAGAGAAAACAACCTGGTCTCACGGTACGAGACTACACACGAGATGGGGGTCGTCGGCTCTGTTGCTGTGCTATCTAGACCGCAAACCGAAACTTGTGTACTATGTACGTCCGTTCTAACAACGTTGTTGTACACCATATGCATAACTACAATGTACTACTGTAGAGGACTGCTGCATAGTCTTGTAGACTACTGCTGTAGCCTACAGCAGTGGTAGTAGGTGCATTTGTCAAAATAGCCCAATTGTTGCCGGGGTTCACCTTGCACATACAACTGTAGGCAACCTACATGAACCCAAACAAAACCCGATGTTATGTAGAGCAGCACGACAGCAGGCGATCGCTGGGGACCTCTAGCTTGTTCAGACACAGAAGGCCCGCAAGTTCAACCTGGGAAAAGGGTTTGCAGGAGCAGCAGCAGCAGCAAAACTAACCTGGTTCCGAAGATTCTTGGAGGTTATTGTTTCGCCCCCCGCACGCGCATCGGCGGCGTCGAGGTCAATGTGGGCGATGTGGTGGACATGGTGACGGCCGCACAACCCAGGATGCGCCCGTGCCGCGGCTTGCCTGTCCTTGACATCCTTTATCTCGGGCAAGGGTCCGGGGATCTCGTTCCCATGTGGGCAAAAACGGCGCCCAACTGCTTTTGCGGCAACCTCCGTGGCGCCACGATACATTTCCGGGGTCGCGGCTGGGATAGACAGCAGCGCCTCGGAAATTGCATCAGGGTTGTCCGTCGCATGGTATTCGCTAGCCATTGCCTCCCAATACGCTATAACCTGCCCCTCATCCATTGTGTGTGCCATGCTGGTGTCTCGTGTCTCAGTGTGTGGAACAAGCGGACCCAGCAGTCACGCCTCAGTCTAAATTCAAGATACTATTATCCTCACTGCTAACCTCACTACCAGTCCCCCAGTCTGTGAAATGGTACGTTTCTCTCTCCAACTATCTCTCCCCTCTATACTATTTCTAGTTGTTTGCACCCCACGGACGATTTCCCGCTTGAGATGTTGTGCCAAAGACTGCTGCACTCCTTGTATGTGTTTAGCACAGCAGCAGCAGCCATCTAATATCGTGACATCCGAGCGCGGACAACGATATTCAGCATGGTCGATACCTTTCTTTGACGAACACAGGGGGCACCCATAGGAATAGCGTCTAACTCTACAAAAGAGTTGCTATAGCTGCTGCTGCTCGTCTTGTTTTTTCCCTCTAGACTATAAAAATGTACAACGGCGTGGACGGATTCAGGGAGATGAGATATGCATATGTCTGTCTACACACACACACACACGTAGGACCTGAAGGAAACTGAAAACGTGTGTGTTTGGGTCATTTTGTCGTGTGATGAGTATGGAACTTCGCCGTAAGGTGGGAACCTCCGCTGCATCTTGATCGTTGTTGGTGTTTGTGCTGTTGTACTACTGCTGTTGGTGCTGTACACTCTGTGCTGCTCTGTCTCTGTCTTGCAACCTATCTATGTAGCGGCTCATCTGTCTGCTGTGCATGCATGTCACCTCGAGTAGGTATACGGCAAGCGAGCGTTGAATTTAGCGGGGCTGCATTCGATTTGAGTCACCCCTGCTGCGGCTGTATACGAACGAGGCTGTGTGCCCGAGGTTGCTCTGTTGGCGCTGCTGTTGCTGTTTTCCCCTTGCTATGTACTATCTGTATCTCTGCTTGTATGTGCGCATGTGCGCTTGTGCTGTTCTTTCCGATTTGTCGAAGGTCTGTTCGGAAGTTAGGCCTCCAACAGCCCGTGGAAGATCCACAATTTAGTCAGTCACATAAGGGTTAACACGACCAGGGTTCAGCAACCCCCCCCCCCCCTCGCTGTTACTGTGAATATTCCGGAACTTCATCGTTTTCCACCGTAGAGTTGCAAAATTGTTCACATGTTAAACCGTAACCCGCACGGCTCTGCGGAACGCGGCTCATACAGATAAGGTATCATCCGCTTACGTACGCCCATGTACTAGAGTACAGCACTCGAAAATCCAGCAGCAGTTGCTGAGTATACAGTACTGCTGTAGTCGAGGTTCTGTCGCGTATTTTCCTAGTAAGGCACAGGAAGTTGTCCGTGTACAGCGGTATACACATGGTCCCTATAACAATACCCTCCAGTGGTCAGAGATCACCCATCTACGCTTGCGCTCCCAAGAGAGAACCCGCAATTTGTATCGAGGTATCCTTGTAGCGTACGAGGTCAGCCACCAGACTACGTTGAAGACACCTGGAGACAGGCTAACGTGATTGTAGAAGTACATTGGAAGGCGGAGACGTGTATTGTTTTTCTGGTGAGTACACTGCAGCTCATCCATCCATCGTGTCCATGTTGCTGTATTTGGGTCCAACCAAAACACAAACATTTCAACCCTCTCCACGAAGCCACTCATACCTTGGACAACACGGGTAACAAGCACAGCCGTGCCTCTTCTTCTGCCACTTGATATGCGTTCAGATGCGGCGGGATTTTTTGACATGGATCATGCCATTGTTTCGCTGCGGTACACACTCATGATAGCCCTGCAAACGCTCTAAACTTCCAGTTGATTGACAGAGCCAAGGCCACATTACCAATCAAAATTCTCACGTGAACTCCTTCCTTTCCAAGCCCTTCTTCCTCCCTGCCGTCTCTTTCCCTGCTGCTGGAGATCGCGTCGTAGAAGCGATCGCCGTGTTGCTATTGCGCGAATGCCGGTCATGATATCGTTGGAATCCTGCCATTGTTGTGCACACAGCGGTGTATCGACGTATCGACACTCCGCAGCTAGGTCATGCAGCTGGAGCTCTCCCTCGTCGTACACGCGCTGCTGGGTCTCCCTCCCCGTGCCTCTACCACTGCTGTACTTTCGACCCACAGGACTCACACACAACGCGGCCCCTCTTCAGCGGTCTTGCCTGCACGGAGCCCCCCATGTTCTTGCAATTTGTTCATTTGTTCCAGCCCTTGCAATTTGTTCCCGCAAGAAGAACGAGTGCCAATGAGTGTTGCACAACAGCGGTAGCCAGGGCGTGCTCAAGGGCAACAGGTTTCAGGTACACCGCTCGTCCACCGCGCCTGAAAGTCTAGCTTGCAATCAGGTGCGAGGGATGAAAGAGTGCTTGGAGTTCCTCACCGACAGCGCAGAGCGGCAGCAGTCCCTCTGAATGTAGTCTGGGTGAAATCTAGCCCAGGTGTAGCGTTCGTTGTGGTCGCGTAGCTGCCATTAGCACGTGGCGCGCACTGGACGAATTCGCGTGGCAGCAGTACGCGTAGTGCCACCCCAGAGAATTCGCCGCGTGGCCTTGCCTGCTGGTTTTGGATGCCATCTTTCCGTTTCCCTTTCATTTTCCGCCCACGTTTGCACTTGCCGGCAGAAAACCTGTCCAGTTCAACCGCAGTCAGTCATGGCTCATGTGCGCCGGCGATCTTTGCCTACGGAATACTGCTTGCTGCAGTATACCGCTGTTTGCAGCGTGCTGCCCTGGGTGTTGAGCTGGCGACGAATTTGGAAGCACTTCGTAGCATCGTTGAAACTGTATTCTGCGACATATTTTTTAATGCGCACAACAAAGAGCAGCCGCTGGCACCAACATAGGTTGTGTATGCATCTACTATACTGCTGTAGTATGCATGTGTAGAGCACAGGGCAGCAGCACGCGATTGTCGTGGGCGAAAGCAGTAATTTTTCTCGTGGTGTCATAGGCAATAGGATGTCGGGTCTTGCATATTTACCGATGTATGCACCCGTCGCCTTTTCAATGGATTGATTTGCGTGTGGTGCCTCTCTGCCATGTGTTTTCGTTAATCCTCAGCAATAATAGGCCGGTGTCCGCGACCATCAACGGCAGCGGAAATGCAACGTGCTCCCGCGAATGGGGGCCAAGAAGATGTTCAGGCGGCGGTGGAGCCCACCGCGGCAGAGGTGCGTATGCATATGATTTTCGCACGAAAGGCACGTGTTTCGAGATTCTGTGATTTTTTTGCTGTGCATGTCCATTCCCCAACCTCGAACGAACCCAGAACCCGGTTCATGCCAAGCTTCCCCCCCCCCCTTTCCCTCACTCCCTCCCTCTCCTCTCCCCTTCGCAGCGGCTTGATCATGTTGGTAAGCTGCTCGCCGAAAAGAGGCCCTGGCCCGCCTTTCTGCAAATCGGAGCTCGAGCCAACGAAGAGTGGGAGGCTTGCCCCACCCCCGTCCAGGAGGCTCTTGCATGGATGGCGACAACTACAGTCGGGGTGCTCGATACTGCGAGCGTTGGACCCTTGGTGCCTGTGTGCCAGGCATTCAAGGCGCTAATCGAGGCTGCCGAACGTGCAGCCGATGGCCAGGACAAGCTAAAGGGACTGATATCTCGGTGCGCGTTCCTCACCACCGTCTTGATTCAACACGACCGAGCGGTTGGTCGCCTCGCTCAGGTGCAGAAGCCCATGAAAGACTTCGTCGCCACAACCAACAAACTGGCGGAATTTACGGCGAAGTGGACCAAGGGCGGCAAGCGTAGGGTATTTTTTTTGCCACCGCATTGACCTAAAGATCCTCACCCATCCTCCCGAGGAGGATCTGCGCAGCATCAGGGATGACATCACCTTGGTGGGCGGGCTGGAACATCACCAGCTTTTGTTGGCCATGCATCGCGATTTGCGCCCTCAAACGTTGCCGGGCATGGCCTCAGTACCTCGAGGCGCGATCTCCCTGACCGGTGCTTACATTTCGCGGCCTTCGTTGCTCGGGAGCGCCATTAGTTACCTCACGAACACGACCCTGGGCGACGCGCCCTGTGTGCTGACCGGCATGGCCGGAGGAGGAAAGTCCGTCCTGGCGTCCGCAGTTTCAAGTAGATTTTCCGTGGTTTGTTTGGACCATCCTTCCATGGGGAATGTGTGTCGTAATAGTCGTGAGGCAATGTGGTGAAAATACAGCCACGCGTAAGATCTACGTGTTTCCAGTTGCTTAAAACACCTTCCTCAAGGAGCAAAACTGGACCGAGGAAGAGTATTACTTCGTAGATAAGATTTCCACCAGAGAACGCCATGCAGGACCGGTCGGCGCGTTTCCTCGAGTACGGGGCGTTTGGTGGCGCGCGAGTTCTCCAACGGAGAGGTGAGGAGCCGAGCACGAGGTTGGAGCAGTCCCTACTTTCTACTTTCCTTCTATTCGCTGCTGTTGCGGAGGAATGTTGGGGCAGATAATTATTGGAAAACGTGATGCGTGTGCCTCTGTTTCTGATGTTGTTGCCTTGGCGTCGCTTTCGCCCGCGTTATGCCCAGGAGTTGCACGTTGTGTCTCCCGGGACATGATATTTTCTTGTGTTCGACGCCCCCCTGTGCTGCACCATGCATGTGTATCTCGTTTTTTGATGCAGGGATGTGACGTTGTGCTGTCTGCTGCAATCCTGCCTGCCGCACCTTGGTTGATGAATATACTCAGGTCACGCCGCACGCACGTTGGAACCTCCGAATGTTCAAGTCCCAGACTCTCGTCGGCGCTCCGGAACACCTCCTCGCTATCCAGAAGCAGGTGCGGCGGCGTGCTCGGACGGTGTTGTCATGGCGATGTTATCAGCTGTTGTTGATGCTTTTGTTTCTCCTGGTCGTCGTCAACCATCAAGTAGGCATCCCGTTGGTCACAAGTCCTAATTTCCAGCAGGTTCAAGCGACGTCAAAACCAGCCACGGAAGCTATACACCATGACCTCCCGGGACCTTGTCAGCGGCCCGAAATCTCGGCGACCTTTGGATACCCTGAAAATCTCAAAAACTTGGTTCTGTAGGTCAGCCACAAGGGCGGTAGGTGTAGAGCTGTTCTTGTTCTCGGGGTTTGTCAAAACAGAGCGGGTGATGTCCTAACAATGTGCACGTATTCGGGGGGGGGGGTGCTCGTGGAAAGCTTTCCCGAAAGCGGCACCTGTCGGCGCCTAGCTTTGCTCCCGTAGTCGCACGGCTGTGCGGAAAACAAGAGGTACTGCCCCGCGAATGCCCCAGGCGGCATGGAGCATATTCCACCCCGAACAGGGTTGTACACAAGTAGCTGATGCCCCCCCCGGCCAAGTTTTGAGGCCGTGCCGTCGTGACCCAGTTATGCATTCTATGTCCTCCCCTGATATCTACAGGGATATGATTCTTGCAGCAGCATTTAAACAGTGACCTATCTCAAGTGTAGATCCGAGGCCAACGGTCCGAAGACTGCAGAGCAAAGCCCTCCCCCCCCTCCTCTCATTCCTGCGTTTTTCGCGTGCAAGGGCCGGGCGGCTACCACTACGAAGCGGGCAAAAAGGGTGCGGCTAGACACTACGAGGGAATGGTGGGCAACCCTGACAACGTTCAAAGGATATAATTAGAGTGCACCGTAGGCCGGACGCGCGGCACAGCGTGGACTCTCTCGCGGGTGACATCGTGGGACGCAAGTAGCAGCGAGCGAACGAGCGCAAGGCACAGCAGACGGTGGAGCCTTTCGGCATGATACCCTAGCGTCCCCTCGCGAGATAGATATGACACGCCGCGGGAGATGGGGTACGGAAGCGTGTTGACGTATCGCGCTTTTTCGACGAAACAACGAGTATGTTGTAAATGTACATAGTCTACCCAACTTGAACAAAATGACACGTCGCGAGGCGATACCTTCATTTTCGGCACCGCCACAGAATCGAGCTTTGAAAATCGGTCCAGGAGGCAGCGGTGTCTCTTCGCATTCCTAGGGTAGAGGTAGAGGTCTTGTTGTTCGACTTGTCTTTCATGAGGGTTCAGCGAATGATGGGTGTTGAATGTGCAACGGATGTGGCATGTGTGCACACAGGTCCAAGCGCTCGTTGTGGGCCACATGGGGCGGCACTAGACCCTCGGGGCGCAGCCTTTAGCGGGATCAAGATGTTCGAGTTTTCAGCAGAGCCTGCTCATTGTGCATGTTTTGTCCCGACTGCGGACAGGCTCGCCGTTTCATTCATTGGCCACACTTGGTCTTTGAGGCATTCGGGATTTGTGTACCTTTCCAATTTCCGACGTCTTGTTGCCTGTCTTTGTTTTGCAACTCTATGCGGTAACATCGTCACGAACACGCTCTCTCTTGCGTTCTTCCATGGGTTCGAGATATTGTACGTGGTGGCGATGCGCGCTGTTTTGTTTTTATGCTGCTGAAGGTTGGGTCACGATCACGAGCGAGTCGTGCAACTGCATCATGTAGTACGAACAATTTATCAACAGTTGGGCTTCCATGCAACCCGCAGGCGGAAATGTTCCAGGTACCTCGAAATAGGCATGAACACATCAGCATCTATAAGTAATGTGTTGCCTCGAAGTTGAAGTCGCAGAGGGAACTGGCGGCCAGGCGCTTCCAATCTATTCAAGCGTCTTGGTGGTTTCAGCAAACGAAGCAATCGCCCCGTTGTCCACCGGGATGTTGCTTAGATGATTTGATCTACTTCCTTTGCAGGTTGTTCCAAGGTCTCCTACAGGAACTGCAGAGAAGTAGCGCACCGTTAGCCAGAAAACGAGAACGTCCAATCGGACCCCAGCACACCAACACATCCCCACGAAACTTGGAAGGGACTGGGAAGTAACGCCACCGGCACGCGGGGCCAAAATACCATGCAGAAAGGAGCAACAACTTCAACTTTAGCGCATGTGGGGCGTGCTTGTGAAGCTTGCGCCCACTTGGTGCTGCTGCTGCGCTGCGCTGCTGTCTACTCCTACTACCACCCGGGCACACAAAACGTGCTACCGCTTTATCTTGGCGCGTCTTGGATGACATCGTGCAACACCGACATGAGTCTGTCTAAATCTCCATCGTTGTTGAAGTAGTGGACGCTCGCTCTCACCTGCAGATCAGCAACAGGAAAATAAAAAAGCAGCGGCTTTGGCTGCAGGAGCTGGCATTCACAGCAGTCGCACTACCCCCACCGCCCTCCGGAAACTAGAACATGATGTTGCCACAGAAAGCAAGCCAACACAACTCACTGACGGGCGCATGTTGCCATGGATCATATGAGCTCCAAAATCACACGATTTTTGCAGAACCTTTATGTTCTCCTCGTCCCGTCTTTCCGTCCCCCAGACGTACATGGATTTACCTTCTAATCGTATCAACAAATTTTCCCGCTCAGCTCACCACGGTTGGCAGAGCCCTGTTTTCAGCGTCGAGAGGCGTGCTTCCGGCACTGGATGTCGAAACGAACACCCTTTCCAGCCGTAACCCTTGCTTGATGTCGCTCGGGTCCACCCCGGGCACCGTAAACGACACGATGCCGCATTGGTTCTCGACTCTTCCCAGGTCCATGAGGGAAACGCCCGGCTCGTTTTCGAGCCTTTCGCGGAGCGAGACGGCCAGCTGGCGGATGCGATCCTCGATCAACTCCATACCTATGTCCATGGCGTAGCGGATTGCTACCCCTAGTCCGAGTCGCCCCGCGACGTTAGACTCCCAGAACTCGAACCTATCGCCGTCAATCGGAAAGATCGTGGAAGGAAACGAAAGGAATGGTGTACACATACCCGTGGTGGCGTTCTACATCCTCGCTGCGTCTCCAGCAATGGCGAGAGCATTGTCTGACACCTAGGAACGACAGGACACATTTCACGTGCCACTGGCACGCCTGTCGTGCGGGTACTTATGTTCTTCTAGCTCAGCGAATCTTGACCGCGTGACACATGATCCACCCGACGCATCACCTTCTCGCGTCGTTACGCAGCTCGTATCGCTCGGTTTCCACCCAAGGTGCCGCATAGTGGTCGATCATGGGCGGCTCACCGATTGTGGCCATCGCCTCTGTGGTGGAGGGAAAGTAAACCAGTAGGGTACGGCAGGGACTGTAAGGTGGAGCAGGTGGTGGAATCCTCGAGCGAAACAGATGGGTATCGATATATGGCAAACATGCGGTACCTCTTCGAGGGCAACAGCTTCAAGGAATGCGTGCATCCTGCTTCAGGGTCACGAGGCAACTGTTTGAGACGCAAGGAAAGGGGGAGAAACATTCAACGTTCCACCTCTGCGCCAACGCAACCAATAACGTCAGCTCCGCGTATCAAGTGTCCGTTCCTCGGGGTGCCCGCCCGAACACGTGCTTTCGTTCCTTCCTCTCCAGCCTTGTCACCTCGTGCAATGTACAGAAACCCCGTGCCGCGAGGACCTCTTAGGAACTTTCGACCGGTTGCGCAGAGCACTTGACACCCTATGTCTTCAACGTCCACTTGCAGCTGTCCCACGGACTGGCATGCGTCCAAAATGTAGAGCACCCCGAACCGCCGGCAGACATCACCCACTTCGGTATAGGAGCAAAAGGTTTGGTTACGGGCGGCATCTCTGTGAGAATTTGAACAAGTCACTTCCGTGTCGGCCGTCGCATGTTGTTCGTAGTCACAGCCAGCACATCTCACGTCCGAAAAAAAATCTCATTGTGCAAGTGCACCGGTACACAGAGATGCCCCGATTGCACCGGAGAATGAGAGGAAACCTACGGTATGCACTTCAAACGTCTGGGCGAATTCGAAAAGGGTATCAGCGGCTTTTGGTTCGAAGGCGCGAGGAGCCCCCGTTCCTGCCAATGCGAAATCATTGCGTCCGCACCTGCTTTCGCCGGATTTACCACTCCTCCATTTGTTGGCACGTGCGTGATGGCAACAGCCTTGACCCCTCCTCTAGCCAGCATCTCCTCCAAAGCCACAACGTCTAATTCTCCAGACTCGTTAGAAGGTATAACCTCAACTACGGCGCCGGTTCGCTTGCATGCCTACATGGTTTTGGAAAAGTTGAGCTTTGTCAAAACTGAGGCAAAGCTATTGGGCACTTTCTGTAAACGGCGGAATCATGACGTTCTGAAAGGAGGCTGGCCGGCCAAGATGCAGCCCATCGACCGGATTCATATCGAAAGACACTGCGAAAATCCGCTCGGCCATCGACTTGACTTTAGTGCGGGTCTCACGACACCAAAGCTTGCAAGGTCCAGGGGGGATAAAATAGCTAGTTCTCAATGATGCTTCTGGTTTCCGCGCAATAGCTATCTCTGCTGTTGTGAAAGAACGCCAACAATCACCTGAAGCATTGCAACGTAATTTGCGCCGTATTCCACCATGCCGGTGACGATACGGTCACCAGGGGATAGACCTTGCACCAGAGCATAGAAAGCTCTGGCCCAGGCCATACTTGCACTCTCCTGCCACACATCAAACGGCATTGACGTACAATGTGATCGCAATGATGACTGGTTGGCGCCGATTGGCCACATGTGCAAGCGCTGTACTACTGTAGTAGATTCAAGACCAGGGACAACGAAGACATCAAATCGAAAGAGTGCGAATTTTAAGGCGCCGGGAACAAAAGAAACAGAAAAATATTCACAGAAAGAATCGAATAGGGATGCATTTGGCAATACGTCACCCGTTCACCTCTTGGGGTTCCGTCAACATAGGTTGCTATGGACACAGCAGTGGGCAACCCATCTTGCCTACATGTATGAACATGGCGAGTTTCGGTTTGCTGCGAAAGACCCGTCAATACTATGTGTACTTGACCGTGGCACCACGTACAAGATTCAAACGTAAGAGTGCGGGGTCACCCATAGAGTCACGACAGGTAGCCGTGGCACGCGTTGCTTACAGCTGGTCGTCAGCGTGCCGGGCACAGCCGGGCGCCTCGAGGAGCCTCGACCTCTGCATCTGCTTGCAGATAACACCGTTACAGAGTCAAACAACCAACACGCAAGCATATCACACCTGTAATGCAATCTCGTCGGGTTGCGCGTTGATCAACTTGGCAGCACTATCATACACAGCCTCGAGCTCGTCCTGGACATTGGCGGCGGCCTCGTAACCTCCCAGCGTAGCCTCCATCTGCATGTGTGTCTGAACCCTCTCCAGCACTTTTCGCGGCATGGGTGAGTCTCCCGCGGCGTTGAAATGAGCGACACACGGTTCTGTACCCTCCCATGCCATCTCGATCCGCACGCCGACAACATCCACAGCCGTTCTCGCCCCTGCCGTTGTCAAGGACGACATATGCATCGAGTCTCGTACACGCTTGCTTGGAACCGTGCGAGAGAGCAAACGTGGCAGTTGATTGTCTCCCAGACGCACCAGAGGGGAGAACGCGATCGCCGCCCATCTCATTGATGCCTCGACGTCAAACCTCTCCAGCTTTGGGGAATACGAGCCCACGCCGCAAAGATTCGCTCGCCAAACTGCGGGAAGTGCTGCTCGGGTGTTGTCGGCAGGACTGTCAACTTTGCCGACCCAAACGGATCTCGACGAAGTGACCTCTGACCCTCTGACCTCCGACGCCGGGGGAGAGTAATACCACAACTGCGCCAAAGGCGACGTGCAGTGCACCTGCGAGAGAGAGGGAGTCAGCTAGCAGGCAGAGACGGGGACGCCACAACAAAGAAAACAGACGAGAAGAGCCCCAGGGACAGGGGGAAATGCACCGTGTCCCCTGCTGCTGCAAGTATGCCTGATCTCACCACAGAACTCGCCATCCAGCGAGCTCGAGCTCGGCCAGGACCAAACATGAGAGGAAAGGATGGTCCAGATGACGAAACCGGCAGAGAAGTGTGGGGAGACCCTGGATGCTGATGCTTTCGACCAAGAAGCGAAGCTCGACCTAGCTGAGGAATTGTTTGTGTCCTGCCGTTTTACGGAAGCGGCAAGGGTCTGTAGTGCCGTGTTGGGTGAAGGTTCAAGCTGCACATCGTCGCCCAGACGAAACTTCAGTAGCACCAGCACCAGCACGACTGCCACCACCTCCAGTGGCAGCCACGACCCAGCTGGTTCGGCTCTGGTGGTGGCTTTTGACGATCAGGTTATTGCGCCTGTAGGAGAATGTGGCACCTCCGACCTCATTGTGGCGGTGTTGCTTCAGTGCGGCTTTGAGCTCCAGCGAACAGAGGAGTGGGGACGATGCCGAGCTTTCTACGGCACAACCCGCGCAATACCCTTTGCCGTTGCTATTCTCTGGTGAGTAGCTTGACTATTATATGCGCTTTATTGTCTTCTCTTTATCCAAAACTACATGATTCTCAGCCATGCGATCGTGCAGTCTGGATTCCGTCCCTCAAGACTACGTGATGGGTACGGGAAACAGGCAGTCTAACGGAGAGACGTAGGGTATGATATCAAGTCAGGAGAGTGGGCCGTTGGAACAAAGTGTAATGCTAGGATGATCTCTTGCTGATCAATGAAAAGTCACTATTTCAATTCAATAGTGATTGTCGCGCTGGTGGTGGTGGTGGTGCTGCTGCTGGTCTGCTGCCGCTCGTGCTGCCGCTGCTGCTGAGATTTATCCCACGTGTACACTCTTGCTTACAGCAGTAATCTAGATCCTCAGCCTTCGCCTTCCCCTGCGGATCGTCGCTTTGGCCCGAAACCTGTTGTACCCCACCTCAGGCTGCGTTTGCGGCTAGCAGGAGGAGAGTTGGAGCTTGTTCGAAGAATCCTCTGGCAATTAAGGGCGGAACTTGGCGAAGAAGTGCGGCGCTGCACGCCCGCGGTAACCGCCAACAACAGCGACTTCGAGAGGGCACACAGTGGAGCTGTAACACCAGCGGTGGCGAACTACTCGGAAGCGACGGAGATGCTGGTCGTCCAGATAATGGTCCCTTGCGGAGAGTTCACCGAAGCCGAAGCGCTTGTTTCGAGCGACGCTTACCTCAGCCCGAAGGACAAGAGCCAACTTCTCAAAGCCTGCGAACAATCCGCGTCAGAGAGAGAAAGGGAGTCAGGTGCGGCAACCGGGGAAGGGTCAACGGGGAATGCGAGCAACACGGCTTCTGGCAGTCGCAGCCCTTGCGGTCGCGGTGGTCCTTCGCATTCATCGTATCGGGAGGATTACAGAGAAGAAACTAAAGGAGGGCCACAACGCGACGGACGCACACGATTAGAACACTCTTCGTCTCCAGACGAACTAGGTGCAGCGTTTTGTCATCAACAACGGCAACAGCAGCAGAGCCCCCTGCAGAAGTTCTTCTCGGATGTCTCGGACTGGACGCCGGAAGCTCGTGTGCAACTGGTGGTGGGGGCAGGCGCAGCCGGTCTGGCGGCGTACGCGGCGCTACGGAATCGAGATTCTCTTTGGCGGGCCGCGCGTAACGCCGCAGGCGTGGCGGCCCGAACAGCGGGTGATGTAGGAGCGTTTATCGTTGGCTCGTCGTAGGGCAAGTCGAGAGTCCGGCAATATAAGGGTACACGGCGGTGTCAATGTGATGCGGTGTTCTCCGTTGGTGTTTTGGGCAAGGAGAGAGGGTCCAGAAGAAATATGACGGGTAGGGCCGTGCCACAAGTGGGCCACCGCTAAAGATCCGTGTGTATCCATCAGAGGTCTCCCGAGTTCCCATGGTGCCCGGAAAAGCTTCTAAGGATTGATTCTCCATACGCTTTGGATTTGCGGCATGGACCCTACTCTGTGTCCAATATATCTGTCGTCCACAACAAAAGGTTGGACAAGATACATGGGTCGGCATAACACACACGCGTAATACACGAGAGAGCGCATGAGCTTTGTTGTCAACTTGTGTGCATGGGGAGATGATTGATATACTTCTTGGGCAACGAGGACCATGCCAGCTGAGAGGTTCATGCACCCCGCGTGATGCCTTGTTAATTCTCGTTAATTCCCGACGCATCGTATTGACAACGTTCGCAGCACACAAAGCTCGCACGAATCACGGGTTTTTGTCTCTTTTGAACCACGAGTTTTGTTGAGTAAGAGAAGCGCTCCTCCAGCTGTAGCACACAGCTTTTCTTCTGTCGCCTATCTCCAGGTCCACACCAATCAAGTTTGGCCTTTCAGACTACCGCCATGAGCCCCTCTCTTGTCCTTCATGCCTACCAAGCCGCTTCATGGTTCTGCCGTGCCTACTTCGCTGCTCTCGCCCGGGTGTGCGTGAAAAAAGAAACAGAGTGAGCAGCGAGAGCACCAACAAAACAGCAAATTGGCTAACGGAACACATACGCTACTGGTACCTATGCGTGTCGTTGTCGAGCGGGTGTGGTCTGCTTCATGCTCTAGCCGGCGGTGTACGAAAACTGCCTGGGAGTGTAGGTTTTAGAGGTGGGCAGGTAAGAGGAGCAGCGTCTTCGTGTCGGACCACAAGTAGAAGGGCTCTGGAGGTTCTTGAACATAACATCTACGGGTGCACACCACACGCTGTTCGTTAGGCGGTGTGATTTGCTCAAAAAGCCCAACCGATCTTGGACCCAGATTCAAGACTGAAGGTGGGCAGAATGTCAACCATCGAGAAACATGAAACATGGGCATCTCGTCGCGATTATAAGCGACTGGTGGTCTCAACGCCGCAAAAATGTACATGACCAAGCAGGGCCCCGAAACTCGGGTAGGCTCAATCTGACTCGACGGCCGTGACAAAGGGCTGTCAGCAGACAAGCACACACAAAAAAAAAAGGGTCGGAAGCAATACGGGATACTCTGTGCCATCATTGAGCGCAAAATAAATGTCGTCGTAGACACAAAATGCGCGTGGTGGGGTCCCATATTTTTTTAAGACAAAACGATCATTTACACGGGGGCGGGACCTGTGAGTTCCATTGCTCGTTTGTCGGGTCCACCTGTTCCACAGACTAAACTACTCTACTTGAGCAACCGTTCAAACTCGTGAGCTGCAGCAGGCATCCTTCGACGAACTCTCGAGTTCAAATATCAGCAACTTGCAGTCCCTATTACATGAACAACGATGCCTCAGCGGGTTACTCAGAGACAATACTAAGACAACAGACACGCCCTGTGGCTTACTACACTGCTAAATATCAGCAGTGTTCGACTCTCTTTCAACGTGCTGGAAAACAACAGAAGGTATACGAAACTCGCAAGTTTGTGGTGCATGCGAGTCTGCTGTAGGAGCTTATCTATCGTCCATCTCATGTCTTCTCGCAAAAGAGATACCGGTCCACTCTACAAACGTATGCAGCCGGCAGGGTAGCCTCACCAACCGCGCACCACAACCAACAATTTTACGTCAGCTTAACATCTGAGTACAGCGACGTAGCAATGGGCTAGCTCTTGCAAATACTGCAAACAGCCAAAACGTAACGACACACCTTCCATGCGCAACGGACGGCTGCCCTATCAATCCATGCAAACGAGTTACGTTCTCATTTGCGCAGGGCGGCCAACCTATTGGCCAGCTCGTCCTCCTCGCCAGCCGCGGCCGCCGGTGCGGCCGCCGGCTTGGCGGGCACCTTGTTAGACACAGGGCCAGCGTCGTCGAGCTGTTCACCCAGCTCTAAGCCAGCCTCATCGGCTACCATCTGAATGAGGCCATCCACTTGCTCCTGGGGCGTCGACATGGCCGTTGAGTCGCCCATGGCGTTTTCCATGTACCCCGCCCGTACATCCATGTCTTCGAACTGCTGCTCGAAGCTGTCCATGGTTTTCGAGATGCGCTCGACGTCCATTGCCTTGAGAGCCGACTCCATGCCCTTAACCACCCCCTCCATCGACTTGTTTACCTGCCGCGCATCGAACAGGGGTGTGGAATTTGGTTTCGGGTCGCGAGTTATTGAGTGTGGAGTGGATGCCCTACCCGCTTGTACAAATAACACTGAATCGTTGCCATTCGAAAGTTGTCGGTGCGCATACGTCTGGCAGCTTTTCACGCTAGAAGCAACATCAAAGTTAGCGTGCGATTCGGCCTGTTTTGCTGTTTTTTCCAGGAGCCCATGTTGGGCGCTTTTCCTAATTTGGCCACACCCTACAATTCTACGCAGTTTTGTGGAATCATCAGTCTCTCCATGGTTCATTTTGACAGCGAATTCGGTTTCGTGACTAGGAGGAACGTATCGGGCGCTCGTCGTCACTGTAATATCAAATTTCTAGTTCCTGAACTCTCAGCCAATCTACACGGGCCGTTTCCTCGCGACAGACAAAAAGAGACACCCCACAACGCCTACAAAAACACTTCTACAGACAATCCGCCCGGGCCCGCTCCCAGGTTTAGCATAAAAAAAGCAGGGATCAAAGAATTAACGCATTCAATCTCTGTTCCGGGGCGAAGGAATGCTGACGCACAAGTCTTCGTGCGGGAACAAAGCCATGAACACGGCGGTGTAGCGTTTGGGTTTTTGAGCACAATGTAACTACACGTGTTACACCGAAGCTCCACAGAAAGATGTCGAAAGACCCGATGGTGGTTGTATCATCAAAGAGCCCACCCAACCAATTCTGTATGCACGTGAAAAGAAAATCGAAAAAATTGAGAAATGTCACCTGCTTCATCCGAATCGCTGTCTCGAGCCGCGACGCCACAGCATCTATTCGACTACTTAGACGTAGACAATTTAAACTTTGATTCTTTTCTCGAATCGCGTTCTGGCCGTAGATACGGGCTCCCTCGATGTTGCCAGCCTTGATTGCCTCTCGCAACTTGGCCTTCGCCGCGTTCTCGTTCTTGGTGCACTTGATCGCGCCCCTCTGCTGCTGCTTGGAGGTCAGCCTCAGGTTGATGAGTTCATTCTCCAGAGATACCTTGTTTCCCATGGCTGCTGCTTCGGGTGCACACCGTCTTTTTCTCTCAGAAGAGGGTACTCTGTGTAGCGGATGGCGTTGTCTTCGACAGAGGAGTGGAAGTGTTCCGTGCGAGGTTGTCTCTGCTGGGAAGTGCTGTGTTACACCGCGTTGTTGTTTTCGTCCGCCTCGCCGCCTCGCCAATACAGCACAGATTTATTTCGTTCCTTCTCAGTGGCTGTGAAGCTCAAGCCTTGAAGAATACGAGGTGTGACGTGCCTATTCTTGGGGGGCTTACAGCTGTACTGTTGTCGCTCCGGCTCTCGTAGAACGTGTTGTTTGAAGGTGCAGCAGGAGGAAGAAGAGCACTTCACCAGCTCTTGAGAGAGTTGTGGGGGGGTATCGTGGAATGATACAGGGGGAGGTATGTATTTCCTGCGTCACCTCCACCGCCCCTGAGCTCGTCATTGCCGACGGCGGCTGCTCTGGCGAACGACTGTGCGGCACTCGAGGAAAGCAAGGCGGAAGATAGAGAGAGAAACAGGTACCACGACTGTGGGAGTGTAGAAGCGACGAGAGGTGCGAAGGATTCCCGCGGAAGTTATTGGGCCAATGCCTACCAGAGGTTAGGACTGGTTGCTTTTTCGATCATTGGACAAGTTTATGTTGTTGATGCTGACCACGCGCCACCTTGTGTGTTTGTTGTGTGTGTGTTTTTTTTGTGCTGCCCCGCCCCCCAATCACCCGACACCCGACGGGTTAAAGGTTCAACAACGAACAGCGCGGCTTGCACACAAAGGGAACCATGGTGCTTCGACCTTTTGTGGACGAGCCGAAGGGCGAGGTAGCCAACTACCCGTACTTCGAGCGCGGCAAGGACAGCACCATGGCGTACCTGTATCGCCTCTTTCAGGAGCGGATCGTCATGTTTGACGGGGCCATGGGCACCATGATTCAGAAGTATAAGCTAGGGGAGGAGGATTACCGCGGAGAGCGGTTCAAGGCGAGTGCTGCCTGCCGTTGTTCACGTTTGCAGCACTTGCTTGGTAGGTAGAAGCAAAGGTGTAAGCGGTGTAGGTTTATGCGTATGTACATGTATGGATAGTTGCCAAGCAGCACACATGCACAGATGCACAGCAGCAGCAGCAGCAGCAGAGGCAGCATTTTTTTTTTAGTCATGAGCCTCGACCACGCACGTACAGCAGCACGAGCATTAGCCCTGAGGTCCCAATCGCGTTTGGTTTTGCCCTTGAATGTCACTCTAAGTCAGCACCGCTGCGGTGCGTCATGGAGGAGAACGTTCCTCGTGGCCCCCGTGCTTCGGCATTGGGGGGGGGGAGAAGGAAACTCGAAACAGAACGACATTTTCGGCCATGTACCGACAGCAGCAGTACGGTGTATGAAGTACTATACAAGGTCGCTGATGATGTCGTGCCGACATGAAAAATACTTATTCTCGTTTCATGCCCATCCGAACATAATGCTGATAATTCGACTAATGCTACTTTTCGTCGAAAACGAAGAACGAAATGAAGCAGATCTACACACGTCGTTAGGTTGCGCCAAAAAAACACGCCGCTCACACGCATCGATCGGCAACACAATCCGGCAATACGGTCATTTCTCGGCACACAAGGCCATGCAGTTTAGACTACGAAGTACGGTGCACAACATGACGGCCACCCGTCGCGGCACCTTGTGGAGACTGAGCTTGTACACGGAAAAGCTCATTTCTTGCACTACAGCAGCAGTAGCAGCAGCAGTGCTGCTGTTGTGTCGCGTGTAGGCTACGCCGCCATGGGGTAAGGTCGCGGTTCTGACCAAGATGTGTCAGAAAGCAAGCATGCGTGCGACGAGATTCAGCTTTTCGGCCCGGTCTGTCGTTGTCAAGGGCATGTACTGCTGTAGTCCTACCGCAAGAGGCGGAGAGATAGCACCCCCGCCAGACCGATTTTCAAAGCTCGATTTCTCCACAATCAAGGGGGTGCGCAAAGAGCCCGGTACGTCGACGGCAAGCCCTCGACGAGATGGTTCCAAAACCACCATTTTAGGTGTCGGCACAAGCTTGTTGTCGGAGCAATCGAGCTTTGAAAATAGGTCTACAAACGGGGGGAGTGCCATCTCTCCGCGCCTCTGGCGGTATTGCCCGTTCTCCCTCAACAAGAATATTTCACGAGATGTATGTGTGGAGAGCGCACATACATGCCGGCATCACAGGTGCGTAACGGTTGTCTCGTCGTCTCCCCTGGTGGTTGCAGAACATGTCGAGTTCTGCGGTATACCGCCTCTGTCTTTTCGTCCGGAGAGCAGCTTATCCTCTCCCATGACACCCCCTCATACAGTCTCAGATCATGGCCTTTGTAAAGCATCTCCTGTTTTCAGCCACACCGAGACTGACGTACTTTCATAAGTCAGCCGGTTCGCCCGGTCGATCCTAACCACATTTCATCTGTGGGAAAGTTCTTTTTTTTATTTTTCTTAATATGACACAACGAAACGCAAACACGCCGCCGCCGGAAAATACCGGCTATTTACCCCCGAAAGAGCCAGCAAGCCGTGTATACACACAAAACGCCCGACCAGTACCTAACACATTTCTGCTGCACCTTCCCAACATAACATGTATGAGACACACAAGACAGCTACCAAACTGTCTTGTTGAGCCTGTTACCCGCAGGGGAGATGTCCCTATATGCTGTCTGGGAAACCGTAGACATACAGGTGCTTTCTGACGCAATGAATTCATTGCTAATCTGTCTCAGACTCTTTTCTATGATAGAGATGGATTCGTTGTGTCATATTAACCCTTGCGTGACTACAGGCCGATTCAGCTCCGTTCTCAGCTCCGATCACTTTGGGTGCCGAAAGATCGCCGTTGTGCCTCGGCTAAGAGTAAAAAAACTACATAGAGACCAGCAGGGAGACACAGGCAGCCCACCCCAATAGCACGCTTATCAGCAATGCGCACAGGACTCACATAGTACAACACTATTCACCCATGCCTCATCTTTCTGACGTGGGGGCAGATAGCCTTTCCAGATCCAATCTACTGCTGTATGTAGTCTAAGATTCAAACGCACAATACCGCACCCTGAACATGTGATCAACCCGGTGCCGCATCCGCGGGGGAGAGCAGAGAAAGCGCACACCGGAGCCGATGCTAACGTACTGCCTCGGTGCTTGATGTTGTTGTGGTTGCGGTGCGTGTGGTTCCCAGTATTGGGAGTGAAGGGTGGTTCGTCTGCTGTGTGCAAAATTTCGCTCAAAGGCAAGGGTTTTCGGGACTACAGCTCCGATCACAGCTCTCTATTTGTAGTACAGAACAGTAAGACTCATCACGATTTTTATGCATTTTGTGCGATAGTGCATGATGGTCTCGATTCTCTGATGAGCGGGCCGTTTTTTTCGTCGATCTGGCGCTTCTGTGAGGCGGTTTCCCGTCAGCGTCTTCGCATCTAGTGCCGCTAGCATATACATGCGCTTGCCCTATGCTCTGTCCAAGGATGAGGTGGAGAAGATGTGCCAACAGGTATTGCTTGCACAGGTACATCCTCTGTGCGGACGGTTGCTGTCGGAGACAGGCATGCACATCACCTACCTGCTCAGAAACTACTGCTGCTGCTGTAGTCTATTTCTCTCAGCATAACTGCTACTGCTGTACAGCAGTAGTACTACTGTACTCCTGTTCGTCACTCTTACATATACCGCGTCCCCATCCCTGTGAGCCCCACACATGGACCCACTGCTGCACCATGCTTGCCGCCGTGATTTATGGGTGTACACGCATGCTTGGAAGATCTTTGACCGCAGAGAGCCAGCTGTGGGGAAAAAACGGAAAAAATCCAAATTAACCCAGTCACGTATGGGTTAAAAAAATGCGACACGAAAAGCAGACAGCGGTCATGGTGTTTTAGCTGCCCCATCTCTTGGTTTGCGGAGTACCTAGCCGGCGTTTCGGATCCAGCCGTTGTGCACGTAGACATCTCCGACAGGACTTGAGGAGGACGGGCTATAAAGCTTTAGAGACCGTACTGCTCTGCTCCTTACTGCTGGTTCACGTGACTGATTCAGGGGCGGCTTCCATTCCAATATTTCACATGTGTGCTGCGTTCCATTTTTTTGTACGTACGTGGGCTGCGGTGGTACAAGTTGAACAAGCTCTCACCAACGTGCGTACACGCCAAACTGTTCGTGTACACCTGCCAACGTTCGCCAGCTGAAGCTCGCCTACGCATATATGCTGAAACCGTGACGCCACGACCACGCGCCGCCAGCTAGGGATCAACGCGAGGAAAACAGGGAGTAAAATCACCCGACGAACCAACTACCCAACACCTTCCTACTACACCTAACCAGTGTAACATACAGAGAGATGCACGATGGCTACCAAACTATCTTCTAGACCTACCCACAGGGGAGAAATCGCCGTGTGCTGTTCGGGAAAATCGTGGGAAAACAGAGAACTTTCGCTGACGCTATGGATCCATTGCTAATCTATCTAGACTCTTTTTCTATAGATAGAGATGGATTCTTTGGGTCATAATAATGACACAGCAGAGTTTACACCTCCCTTCCTTTTTTTTGTTTTTCATCTGAAACGTATGGAAGCCCTGAGCGGACGTCATAAGATACGCTTTTTTTAGCGTCGATTCTTGCGGGAACCCCGTTGTGTGGGGTTGGGCTTACGCGCTCTGTTGATCTTGAACGTGCCAATGCTGCAGGACTACCACATCCTCGTCAAGGGGAACAACGACATGCTGTCCATCACCCAGCCGCACATCATCAAGGAGATCCACACCAAATACGTAGACTCGGGCTCGGACATCATCGCCACCAACACCTTCTCAGCGTGAGTGTGTGTGTGCCTGCGATGCGAACGAAACCGATGGTGTTCAGTGGGATGCCTCGCGTATTATTTTTGGGAGATTTTGTCTTGAAAGAGCCAGTTCTCGAGGAGGAAGGAATAAAAGGTGCTGATCTATGGTGTGTAGACTCTCTTCTTAGATAGAGATGGGATCGTTGGGTCATATTGTAAGAATAATAATGTGAGACGTAGGTCTCCAGGTTTGCGTGTGGCTCAAGTTCCTTCAGTTGTGGAGACAAACGGTTCAACCTCTTGTGGAGAGGCCGAATGGGTACGGAACGGGTAGAATTTTGAATCGGGGGGGAGCGAGCCTGCTGCAGCAAGGTTCAGCGTCCACCGTACACTGACTCTATCTGTGGCAACACCCCGACGGTAGATCTCCGACAGGTCATCTGACGTCACAATCTACGACAGTCTGAGGTGACATTCATAATAATATTGATAATAATGCTTCTTCCCACGACTACCTTAGCTCTTGTGCGCTACAGCAGTGGTATTGCTCAAGGATCCCTGTACATGGAAACTGAATTTCTCTTTAAGGCCCTACTACAAACCCAAACGAACAATATATCATACAAGATCTCCCTTCGGGACGTGGGTGTCTACCTTCCCTCAGGTGACGTAAGACCACATGCGCATTGCCCAAAGAGGGACTGTGTGCCTTACAACGCTTGTATTTCCGCACAAACATCGCGCACATTGTTATTCTACATTGGAGCCAGCTCGAGCGGACAAAATTTTGGCAGCGAAAACTCAGACTTCCATGATGTCTTTGATTGATGATGGCAGATTTCCGATGAGAACCAAACGTATTTGAAGCCGAAACAACACCACAAATAATGGGACATGTTCAACACTGCGGCTGGATGCATGCTCTCAGACTTGTCTACACTTGGCCCGCTGCGAAGTGTAGTAAACGTAGGTACTGCTGTTGGACAACGCGATGACACGAAGAGTCACCACCATGAATCATCGAATGAATGAATGAAAGAACGAATGAAAGTGGAGAAGCAAGAGGCAAATATTTCAAACCGTCGTATTTGATGGGTTTGATAGGTTTCAGAATTGGCTCGCCAGGCTTTGTCAACGCGGAAAGCGTCCCCGGGGTTTTGAGCCAGTTTTCGCAACTTTGGCCGTAAACCAAACGCGCCACAGAGGCCTACCGAGCTCCGGACACGGGCGTTAGTGCACCGACGAGCCTCCTGCGTGCCCCTGAGAAGCAACCGCGAGAAAGACTAGCTGCCGCGAGAGAAAGCAACGCCGAAGCATGAAAAGTGACCAAATCTTTTAAGTACATATGAAAGCTGTGAACGAGAGCTTTCATATGCCCCTACATTCCTGTGCCATGTATACATCCCACTATACCGCCACACCAATTTCTGAAACAATACTATCCCCCTCTTGTATGTATACATGGGCACAGGACCACGATCGCTATGGCCGACTACGAGATGGAGAAGGACGTCTACGAGCTCAACTTCGAGAGCGCCCGCCTGGCGAGGGAGGCCTGCGAAGAGGCCACGGCCAAGGACCCCACCAAGCCGCGCTTCGTGATGGGAGCCCTCGGTCCCACGAACCGGACGGGATCCATCTCTCCGGTGAGACTTTTGTTGTTTTTTTGGGAAGCTTTTGAGCGCGCGCACAGGAATTTGAGCCCATCACCCACCCAGGCGGTGAAACCAACGGAGTAGTTTAGAGGGGAGTGCTTTGGTGGGTGCGCCGCCGGGTGCTGCTTGCTGAGAGGGATTTGTTCGTTGATGGCGTGGAGTTACCAAAACCTTTTGCCGGAACGGGGGTTGGACAGAAAAGGTTCGGGTTGGTGAGGTCGTCCCTTCGAGGATTGCTGTTCACGCGTTTGCAGTCCTGCCTCTCTTGGGAGATCTGCTCATGGGAGAGGTTTTTTATACCCAAAGCGCGACCGGTGTCCAGTCCGTTGGTGTATATCTGTCGACCAGTCAATCGACCAATCGGATGGTTCCAATCGGTTGACAGGGTAAACTCTCGACCAATCCATTTGCTCGACAACGCAAACCTACCCCACAACCCGCGCAGGATGTGGAAGACCCTTCGTTCCGAAACGTAACGTTCGACGAGCTGGTGGTGGCCTACAAGGACCAGACCAAGGGCTTGATCGACGGCGGGGCGGACATCATCATCGTAGAGACTATCTTCGACACGCTTAACGCCAAGGCCGGAGTGTTTGCGGTTCGAGAGTGAGTCCACATACATTCGTATTAATTAAAAAGATGGCGGTTTTCTGTTCGTGTGTGACGTCAAGTAGAATCGCGACATATCAAAAGTGACAGGGCCCAGCACCTGAACTGCCCTGTGTTGCACGGTTTGTGCTGCTTATATATATACATAGACGGGTGCAAATGGATCGGGTTCGGACCAGGGAGAGGAGTTCGATGACTCAGAAGTCGCTCGGTATGCCTGCACCAAGGCGTTGCCGGCACACCCGGGGACAGGACCCATCCCCCCCCCCCCCCCCCCACGTGCGCACGGGGGCCAGTACCGTGGCTGCAAGCGTCCCTGCTGGTGTCTCCAATGGCGTTTTTTTTCTGCGTCACGTGACGATAGATGACTCTACAATTGACTCATGCCCGCTATCGGTCGCCCCGGTGGTCTAGTGGTAACCTCGAAACCTCTTGTAGTATAGTAGTCGTGAGTTCGAATCCCCATGGGGTGAAGAATTTACGAATTTGCGGATGAAAGCGAAAAAGCTGAAAAGCCCCGGAGTTCCAAGCGCCGACGTTAGCACCGTTGACGAGGAAAGGGACGGCTGGACCCTTCTCGCGATAAAAAAAAAATCAGCACGCACCGCAGGAGGAAGTTGGGCACGAAAACAAAAACAAAAAGAAGAAAAAAGCCCAGGTGTTTACCCCCTCCTGTGTGACCCTGGACGGTTGTAGTTGTACGAAAAAATGCACTGAAAGTGTAGTACTCTTCGTACACTTAAACACGTGTAGTACACGCCCACCACGAAAAATGGGGGGGCTGGCGCCATACTGAAAAGGACGAAAACATAACCAACACCTATGCGGCCTTTGCCTCGGTTTCAGTTGTGCCACTTAGCTCGTTGGTTGCCAAGCTTCTCCCCTCGGTGTGCCGGTTGTTGCCGACGTTATCCACGCGTACACGCTACGGCAGGTACTTTGACGAGCAAGGGATTACGGACGTCCCTCTGTTCGTGTCGGGTACGCTGGTGGACCAGTCGGGCAGGACGCTCTCCGGTCAGACCACAGAGGTATGGTATGGTATGGTGTCATGTGGTATGGTGTGTAGCATGGTATGGTTTGGAGTGGTCCCGTGGGGCTGCTCGCTTATCGTTATGAGTATTTAGATGCACGGTTTGATCGCTTACTTGCTCAACCTCGTGGGAGGTTGTACTTGAAGTGGTTGTCAATGCTTTTGGGCTGCGGTACAAGTCACCTGTTGCGGCTGCGCGATTGCTCCGGGGTGCAACAGACAGGTGAACCGCGACGCCTTCGGTGTTGAAGTGCATATATGGTATGCCGTATAGGAGTACTACCGTCGGTATACTAATGATGTAGCACCGCTGTCCCTGAGACACGCCTTCTGACAGGCAATAACCCCCCGTCCAATCCCCACAACGCGCCTGTCCACTCCACGCCACACCGTCGACTGCTGCCGTCTGCAAGGGCTTCTATGTGTCCATGAGGCATTGCAAGCCTTTCTGCATCGGGCTCAACTGCGCCCTCGGGGCCTCCCAGATGCGGCCGTTCCTGCAGCGCCTCGCCAAGGTGGCGGAGTGCTTCGTCCACGTTTACTCCAACGCGGGGCTGCCGAACGCCATGGGCGGGTACGACGAAACCCCCGAGGACATGGCTCGCGACAACCTCCTCTTCGCCGAGGAAGGGCTCATCAACATGCTCGGCGGCTGCTGCGGATCGACCCCGGCGCACATCAAGGCAAGAAGGAAGGGGAGGGCGGAGAAAAAAGCGTGTGTGTGTATGTGCATCGAAGATGAATGATGAATATCACGCAGTCTTGTATGCCCGCAGCGACGAACAACGGGAAAGACGACCAGAAAAAAATACCATGGATATATTCACTCCGTGGCGTATGCTGCAAAAGAGCCACACTCTACTTCCCATGAGGCGTATCTTGTCCAAATATACCGCGTTGTCTTCCGGTACCGGTAAGAGTTAACGCTAGGGTTCATGCACGCATGGTGTTGTTCTCTGAACTCTGAGCCGGTGCTCCCTTGTTGAGCTCCGCGACCCGGTCATGTTGATAAAGCTCAAGGTTCCATCCCTCCTGTCCTCTTCCCCTTGCATCTTGACGTCATTTCGTTCGACGGCAGGCTATGAAGGACGCGGTTGAGCCTTGCAGCACTCGCGCGCTGCCGCCCCCTCGCGAGCCCTTCATGTGGCTCTCCGGCCTCGAGGATCTGATCGTCACCAAGGAGCGGTTCCAGTTCCTGAACGTCGGGGAACGGTGAGTGAGCAAGGACGGACGAGTGGTATAATAGCTGACGTTGTTCCTAAGGTGCGCCGACAGACCGGCCATTTTGGTGCCTTCCGCAAAACCTGGCAGCGTTTTTTTATTGTTTCATTTTGTATTGTTACACAGGGTCCTTTATTTGCCTCGTTGTGTCACAGACAACAAGTGATTCCGTTGACCTTTTTGTCACGCCCCCTTGCCGGGGTATGAGTGATGCCAGTACATCCAGGGGGGGGGGGGGGCGTTGAGGGAAGGTCCTTTGAAGACGTATCTATTGTATAGTGTATAGTGTATGGTGTTGGTGGCCAACAACGATGACGACGAAGGCTCTCTGGCGTTGGTTGCTTTCCGCCCCAACACGTGGGCTTCCCGACAGCTACGTGTCCGAGCAGGGTACTTTCATTTTTGCGGGGCCTGGGCGGGTCGTGTGTTGTACGATACGTGTGCATACCGTAGGCCGCGTAAGATATCACACCACCTGTACCGATTTTCGAAGCTCGATATCTCGGCAGGAAAAACAGTGATGGTGCCGAAAATGACGGCATTGGACCCTTATCGTCGAGAGCTTTCCGAAAACGTCTACTTCAATTTCGGCATCCTCTTCGTCATGGAGTAATCGAGCTTTGAAAATCTGCCCGGGGTGCGATATCTTATGCAACCTACGGTAGGTGTGTCATTTTTTCCGTAATCTTGATCTGTCTGTCTCTGGCGCGCAACACTACAGGTGCAACGTTAGCGGTTCTATCCGCTTTAAGAAGCTCATCCTCAAAGGTGACTACCAGACAGCTATGGACGTTGCCAAGCAACAGGTGAGCCCCCCTCCCCCTGCGCCCTGTTGTGCTTCTTGGTTCGAGTGTGCTGTGTGTTTGTCTCTAAGGTAAGCCTGATGTTGATGTTGTCGTTGTGGTTGTTGTCGCCATCGTTGGTGTTGATGTCGTGGTTATCGTTGTAAATGTAGTCGTTGCTGTTGTTTGCATATGTGGAAACCCGTGGTGGGCTCTACCCAGGTACACAGGGAATGGCAGATCACGTCTTTCACCGTGATGCCGTTGACTTTGAAGTCGAAGACGTGTCTTATGTCCGAGCGTCTTGTGTCATGTACTGAGTAGTTGGCTCGGTTTCTACTGCTGTGAGCTACTTGCTGCTGCCGCTGGTGCTACCGCTGCAAAATCGCGCACCAGCACGTCATGCTCTAGCTTCGGTGCGAGTTCTGACGTTATCCTCTCTTGTTTTTGCGACGCGTTGCTTCACCTTTTGGTGTTGTTGCTGCTATTGCTGCTAGGTGGAAGACGGTGCGATGGTGATCGACATCAACCTGGACGACGGCCTACTTGATGGCATGGCCGCCATGCAAAAGTTCTGCAAGATCGCGGTCACCGAGCCAGACGTTAGCAAGGTGAATCAGAGGACGACACAGGGAAAAGGAAAAGGGGGGGGTCCAAAAGGGGGGGGTCCCTGGTACCAACCACAAACGATGCGTTGCCCTCTCGACCATTCTTCGTGTCGCAAGCACCTGTTCGCGTCTATTTTTTCTCGCAAGCTGTCTTCTGTCATCGTTGGCTACTATAATACAGTATTTGCCCATCAGCTTGTGATGAGCTGTAACGGCATCGGAAGGACTTCCTCGCAAGGGACGCCCCGATTTCCCATGGTGCCTCGGCGGTTTTCCTCAGCAACCGTCTCGGTCGCAATTCCACCGCTTGCTTATGTACCCTTGGACGATGCGTCTGTTGCCGTGCCCCTACCTCCTTTTCTAAAGCATCGCCGTAGTGGTCGACACAGCCTCGAAGTCAAGTCCATATGTAACCCGCGGCTCAAGACCCAGCCCGTGACACTATTATATGACCTCCGCAAACACAGGATATGGACGGCCTTCTTCTCGAAACAACTGACTTTTTCTCGGTTTTTGTTCGACCAATGCGTAGGTCCCGTTCATGATCGATTCGTCCAAGTTCCCCATTGTGGAGGCCGGTCTGAAGTGGGTGCAGGGCAAGAGCATCGTCAACTCCATCTCTCTCAAGGTGCGTGGTGGTTGCTGCGTCTGTTGCAGCTCCTCGGACTAACTCCGACTGCCGTTTTATGAAAAACGGAACACATTTTGTTCATTTGGGTGACTAAACCATGTGTGAATTCTAGATTCAGCATTTTCGTTCGTCGCACTACATGTAGCGCATCATACAAAACAGCTGTCCCCGTCTGGATTTTCAGTGTCCATGTTCGAACCCCCCAACCCCCCGCCCCTCACACTTCTCCCCTACCTCCGACAACCCGAAATCTACTTCCCTGTCTCACCGACTGCCTCTCAACCATGACCCTCACCCAGCAGCACACATAATTCTTCGAATCTCTCTCGAATTACGACCGAACCGCTCTTAACGCCAGCTGCTTCTGGGTGAGTGTAGGGGCCATGGTTGAGGGGGAGTCGGTGAGAAAGGCTTCATGGCGTTGAGAGCGGTTCGGTCGCAATCCGAAAGAGACTCGAAAAGTTCTTTCTGCTCGTGGGTGAGGGTACGGGCCATGGTTGAGAGGGAGTCGGTGAGAGAGGGAAGTAGGGTAGGGTTGTCGGAGGTAGGGGAGGAGTGAGAGAGAGGGGGGGTTGGGAGGTTGAACTTAGAGATTGAAAAAAACAGATGGGGACAGCTGTTTTGTATGATGAAACGATGACGAGCAGCTACAACCCAGTTGCGGTGTTTCTTGCCGACCTCCCACATAAAACAACACTGTAAAGACTTCAACCCCCCTCCCCCTGGGAATGCTGTCGTTATACGGTTTCTCGAATGGGTAGTCTTTCTTTGATTGTATGATACTATTTACAATATACGAAGTACTTTCTAGGAACAAGGTTTTACTTGCCGCCCCGTCCGAGCGACTGCAACGGAGTCGGGGTGTTTCTTGTCGACCTCCCACATTCAACAAGGACTTTTATCTTCCCGCCCCCTCAAGACTGTCCTTCCTTGTTCTAAGCTACTGAACAGGTCGGTGGGGCGGATTTCGTTCGCTCTTTCTTGTTTTGTTTATGATGTTCATGTTTTGCTGACGATGACGTCACTGAACAGGTCGGCGGGGCGGATTTCGAGCGCTTTTTCTTGTTTTTTTTATGATGTTCATCTTTTGCTGACGATGACGTCACTGAGCAGGTCGATGGGGCGGAGTTCAAGCTCTTACCTCTGTTTTTTTTTTTTGTGGTATTCTGGTGTGCTGACGATGGCGTCACCGAACAGGTCGGTGAGGCAGAGTTCAAGCGCGTACTTCCTGTTTTTTTTTTTCTTATAATGTTCACATGTGCTGCTGACGATGACGTCAACGGAAAGGTCGGCGAGGAGGAGTTCAAACGACACGCGAGGATCGTCAAGGCGCACGGAGCGGCGGTTGTGGTGATGGCCTTCGATGAGGAAGGCCAGGCCGCCGACTGCGACAACAAAGTCCGCATCTGCAAGCGCTCCTACGACATGCTTGTCGACGAGGTGGGTTCGGTCGGGTGTGTGATGCCGAGAGACGGAAGAGGGGAGGTGGCGAGATTTTGAGGGGGGGGGAGAAACACATGCGGTATGAGAGGAGAGAGAGAGAGAGAGAGAGAGAGAGAGAGAGAGAGAGAGAATAGTACACGCAGTTGTCGTTGTCCCAAATCAAGCACCATTTGATATGACAGATTAGATAGCAGCCGACGAAACGCCAGCGCCGCCCGTGTACTTAGGAACTTCACTTCACAAGGATCGCTGTTGCTTGTATCACACACGGGAACTGCGATCGAATTAAGCCAAATCTCGAGTTGTTGCCGACTGACGCCGCATCCCAGGTCGGCTTCCCCCCCGAGGACATCATCTTCGACCCCAACATCCTCACCATCGCCACGGGCATCGACGAGCACAACAACTACGCTGTCGACTTCATCCAAGCAACGGAGAGGATCAAAGAGGTGTGTATGTTTGCTGTCGCCCCTTGGCCGCCGTTGTTTTTCTGATGTTATGATAATCTCGTGAAGAAAAAAAGGTCTTTTGTACTATTCCGCGGCAAAAAAGCCCGAGCTGTTGGCCCTCCGCTTGTCGTGGGCAGTGGGTCTCGCTCGCCTATGCGAGTGTAATGGTCGTGGCAATGTTTGGACCTGTCTTGTGGTCGCATTGCATGTGTCGTGGATAGTACTTACCTGCCCGTGTTTGTTGATCAAGTCAGACCTGTCATGCGATCGCGCGGCATTCATCGTGGATACTATCAAGTCAGAAGACCGTCTAGTGGTGGCACTGCATGTATCGTGGATAGTACGTTCACTGCCCACGTTTGATGGTCAATTCAACACACCCTTCGTTGTAGATCGATCTCACGCCGGTTTGCGCACCGTTCCGCGGATCGTGCTTGTCTTATCGTCCAGATTTGCCCGTACTGCAAGATTTCCGGCGGGGTGTCCAACCTGTCGTTCGGATTCAGAGGGGTCAACGTCATCCGTGAGGTAAGAATAGAAGCTCCCCCACCGATGTGCGGCAGTAGGTTAAAACCTGAAGTGTTGGGGACGTTTCGCGCTAAGTGTTCGCGTGGGTGTACGATATCCTTGGGTGTATACATTCAAGCATGCTTTCGCTTGTGAATTGCTCCGAGTCTCTTCTCAAGAGGTCCTTTGCTTTTCAGCCACAACTTTCCAGTGGCAGTGCAAATTATCTGTCTCGGTTTGAAGCAATTGACGTGACGAATCCGACGCTCCAGCGAACGAACGGGACGACACTTGTGCCCCCCCCTCCCTCCCCCCGCCCGATCGCCCTTTCCCCCGAGAGTATCGGAATCGCCGTATCCACCCTCCCGTTCCCGTTCCGCGGTTTCCTCCCCCCCGTATTGAACATTTTCATCACTGGCAAAATCCGTTTGACACTCTGTGGTCCTTGCTTTCGTGATGAAGCCCGGCATGGGCCCGCACATACGCATAGTGCTCCTGCCGACATTCCTGTCGCTGTCGTGTGATTGTCGAACGCCGTTCCGGCGCGAATGAGTGGTTTCCCATCACCTGGCAGTCCTTGCGCTCCTGATCTGCTCCACGCCCCAAAGGCCGGCATGGCCCGCTTGCACACCTTCATGACAACAATACACGTTTATCATCAGTAGCCCTCGCGATGACATTTAACTTGGTTTTAGTAGGGGATACCGTGTGGTTATCGTCAGTAGCTCTCGCGATGACGTTTAACTTGGTTTTAGTAGGGGATACGGTGTGGTTATCGTCAGTAGCCCTCGCGATGACGTTTAACTTGGTTTTAGTAGGGGATACGGTGTGGGTTAGGGTTAGGGATACGAACCCCCCCTATCATATTTCATAGATTGAAAGTTTCATCGTCGCGAAGACGGTCCCTCACCAACCCCCCCCCCCCTGCCCCCGCACCATCCTCGCGGGCATGCGGCGGTGCCCCCGACATCTTCGATCGCAGTCCATGCACTCGGTGTTCCTCTTCCACGCGGTCAAGGCCGGCATGGACATGGGCATCGTGAACGCCGGGATGCTGGAGGTGTACGACGACATCGAGCCCGGCCTGCTAAAGATCGTCGAGGACGCCGTGAACAACAGGCACTCCGGCGCGACGGAGGCATTGCTCGATGCCGCGGAGGTGAGATAAGGCCGCGAATCGAAGCTCGCACGGCTGCTTTCTGCGGGTTCCCCGCTTATGTGAATACTGCGGGCAATGCCTACATCAGTGAACGCAGTTGGTAGTTTTTTTTTTTTTTTCTTGTCCCCGCCACTGGTAGGGTGAAAGGTGCGTGTCGCCTCTTCCACGTCCCGAGTCACGTGATGCGATGATGCCAACAACCAAGCAGTAGTGGAAATATGAGAACCAGGGCGCCACCTGTTGGTCCATCGTACGATATGTACACTGATATGTACAATAGGTGGCATGTTTTGGGACATGGGTCTCTCTTGAGTGTACATCACTGCTCCCGGTGACGTACGTTGAGTTGCTGTGGTTTCAGGTTCGAACCATGAAAAAGGGTGTGTGCTAAGTAAGGTACAGGTACGTACGAGAGGAAGGAAGTCTTGAAGCTGGGTTGCGATGGCAATGGGTCGGGTTGAGTTGCTTGGACGTCGGACGCACAAAGGAAGCGCTAGCGTTCTTTGTAGGGTGTTGCTGCTTCTTGGGGAGTTTTGTGCTCGCGATTTGTGGTCTGTTGGATGTAGTAAGCAGCAAAAGCCTAGGAGTGTTTCGATTTTGTCACGGCAACGAACGACTCATAGGGAGCACGTGCTTCACTTTCGAGTCTCCCCTTTGAGCTCGATTTCGACGAGATGCGTCGTTCGGTGGTTGGGGCTCGTACGGAGTTGTGGTTGCTTCGCTGAAACCAGTGGTATGGCAGAAATGAGAGCATAGTTCGGCGGTTGGACTTGAACGAAGGTGAGGAGGTTGCTTGGTTGAATACGGTGCAGAGGAAGTGACAGGATAGTCAACAGCACGAAATAAAGAATAAAAAGAACGACGATATTGCCGCTTGCCTGAAGACATGACCACCGCTATGGTCGTTTGCTCTCTCCCTATGTCTGTTCTCTCTCGCTCTCTCTGTGTCTGTCTCGCGCTCTCTGTGCGTCTATCTCGCTTTCTGGTTCTCTCTCGCTCTCGCTCTCGCTCTCTCTCTCTGTGCAGATCGAGAAGGAGAAAGCCTTGAAGAACAAGGGGAAGGGCACCGTAGAGGCCTCCGGCTGGCGGACACAGGGGGTGCAGGAGCGCTTGACGCACTCCCTCATCAAGGGCATCGACCAGTGGGTCATTGAGGTACCATATGTCAACATTAACATTGCTCTCGCTTTTTTTCTGTATCTTCTTGGAGAGTGCGGTTCGGTGTCTTGTCATTTGTTTATTCTCGCTTGTTTGAGATCTGTGTTAATTGTTTATTTTTTCATGTGTCTGGATGACGTCATAACGTCTTACCTGATGGTATAGTTGAATGGGGAAGTGAACACGGGCGAGTACTCGCTCAAGAACGCCGGCATCGCGATTTGTCATTTGTTTGCGGCTTTTGGTTGTGCTCCCTTCTCAAGCTTTGTTCTCTCCGCCAAGTGATGCGGACTGGTCTGTCGTGGTTTTGGTCAGTTACCGTAAGAGTCGGAGAGATGCACCGGAGTGCGAAAAAACAAGATCGGCATGATCTAATTGTATTTCCGCACCGGGGTCGGTGAGATCGCACCCGGTACGATCTCTCCGGCTCTTGCGGTATTCGACAATTTCGTGGCGTCCTTGTTCGCACTATAGCGGCTTGAACGTTTTTCGTGGCGTTTTGATCGTTTTCATGTGGTTGTTCTTTGTGTACGTTTAATAGCAAAGAGAGTGAGATATACACAAGCGCATGCTGGATGCGGTTCGTTGTCGCTCGTCTATTTGTTTACCTGCATTTGCCGAAGATCTTTGTTGCAGTGACTCGTGATTCGTTTCTCATCCTCTCTCTCTCTCTCTCTCTCTCTCTCTCTCTCTCCCATCTGTGTCACTGCCTCTTATCTCTCTCCTCTCCTGTTGTTGTAGGACGTGGAAGAGTGCAGGCTGATGCTGGACGATCAGGGCAAGCGTCCGCTGGACGTGATCGAAGGGCCTCTCATGTCCGGGATGAACGTTGTCGGAGACCTCTTCGGAGCGGGAAAGATGTTCCTGCCTCAGGTAACTACTGTAGCTATCTACGAGCAGTCGACCCATGTGAATCTCGCTGTTTCTCCAAAGAAGTTATTGTGACCTGGTGCTGCTGCTGGTAACTCTTGTTTTTCGTGAATAAAGAAAGACGAGTATTCCTGACCACCTACCCAGTGATATGTCATGTTCGGAGTGATGTTCTGGGAGAGACAAGTTTCCGTGATTGCTTCTTCTGCATCGTCACGGCAAACTTTTAATATCCTGGCCAAACAGGGGATTTTTTCGGCCCGCGCAACAAAACCATTGCTTGAGGCAGAAATCGCGATTCCGCTCCTCTAGGTAAGGGCAAAACCACACTGCACTGGCCGAAATACCGCCTCCTTGCTGGCACATTTGTACACATATCGTGGGGATGGTCTACCACCCTGTCCCTTCCCTACCCACCGCACTTTCTGCCGAGCAGGTGATCAAGTCTGCCCGCGTAATGAAGAAGGCAGTGGCCCACCTCCTGCCGTTCATGGAGGCCGAGAAGCTGGCTAAAATGATCGCCGACGGCATCGATCCCGACTCGATCGACGACGAGGACGACTCCCAGTACGCCGGGAAGGTTCTTATCGCCACCGTCAAGGGGGATGTGCACGACATCGGCAAGAACATCGTCGCCGTCGTGCTGGGCTGCAACAACTACAAGGCGAGCGAGCTAGCGAGCGCCACACGTTTGACGCACGCAAACGTTGTGTAGCTGCTGTTTTTTTTTGTGCAGAGCCGTTTTGTGTATGGTAGCGAGCGCACAACGCCACGTTTTAGGCACCCAGGCATTTTGTAGCTGCTGTTTTTCTGTGTGGAGTGTGTCTGTGTGTTGTGTGTGGTAGCACCGTGTCCTGTTTGTCGGGGTGTTGTTTTTCGGCGAGTGTATGCGTACGTACCGAGCGAGAGTCGTGAAGGGTTGTTTTCTCTGTGTTTCAAGTCGCGTGCGGGGAGCATCTCAGTCATGGCCGGTTAAGTCGCCGATGGTGTTTTTTTTTTTTTTCTGCTTTTGACGTGGTGTCAGCCGGCGAGATGATTATGCCCGGCTGCAGCAGCTTCATGCACGCAACGATTTCATGCTACTTTGCACATTTGTTTCGTGCCTCTCTATCCAACTACGTTCAGAGAACAAGCCACGTGAGCGCAACGAAATTTTGGTGGTGCGTGCTTGTGTCCCCGTCTGACTTTTGTTTTTTTGTCGGGACTCCTGTCTCGCCCCCCCCCCCCCCCCCCCCCCCCCCTTGGGGCTGCTTCAAATTTCCCGGGGGGGGGTTTGACCGCCAATTCCATCTTAAAACCCCCAACTCCACTGGGACCGGCAATAAAGTTTTCTTACTAACTCCCCTC